CCCTCTTTAGGGCCACAAATACGATGAGTACAACTGCATAAATATTTTAAATAAAGGTGTTAATGAAATCGTGTATTTGTGAGTGATACTCGCTAGACTTCATGAGTTTTATCAAATACGTTTTGTTATGACGTACTGCGAAGAAAGTAGGTCGATCCAGGAATGATATCCACGAAAGTCCATAATGGAGGAAAATGGACTTCCAAACCCCATTTTATTCGTTCGCGGCAGAAACTGGTCGGAATCTACTTTCGCTAGCGTTATCCAAAAATTTTCATCTCATCGCAACCACGAGGCAAAGCGGCGTGATGAAAATGATTCAACCCTACTTGAGCTCTCGCTTGCGAAAGAATCATGCGAAAAGTCCATTTAGAATGGGGCAAAATGGGATTTACCTCCATTTTAAATGGACTTGAAAGCCCATTTTACTCCCAGCAGCAAGGTGAGCTGGGACTAAGCCCATTTTTGACCTTTTTGCATATTTTTGATGGCGATTTTTTGAGAATGTGTTCCTCAGCTCATTCTAAGGTAACAAGTGAGTGGAAAAAGTTTCCTGTTTTTTATGAAGTTTGAAATAAGTGTTTCTTTCTAAACTCATACAAACACTATAAAAATTATGGAAGAAGGTTAGATTCACCAAAATATTCGCTAACAAACTTAAATGCTTCCAAATATCAGGTCGATGCGAATATTCCTATGTAAATCGAACAAAGTTTGTTAATTCTTCAAATTATCAACCAAAACTAAATTCATAATTTGTATCTGAGAACAAGAAAAGTTTGCGTTTTAATACAATTACTCAGAAACTATCTTTTGACTATTCTCGTAGAAAAGAACCTCAAAGACGGCATTTCAAAAGCGATTTTGAGATTGGTCGCAAGAATTACTGAAACTCAGACAATTATTGCGAGCATCCGCGGCCCTTAATAGGGCCTTTTGGTGGCGCGCGGGCGTTGAATTTTAATACTGACCATCCGCGGCCCTTAATTCACTTGCTTGGCGAGCCCCGGCTCAAGGTTTTCGCTAGTTAAAGACCGCGGGTCTTAATTATTCTACCGGGACACCCGCGGCCCGGGAAAAAACACTCGGACAGGCCACGGACCTTATTGAAAGCAGCCGCGGGCCTTAATGGGCGCCGTGCTCATCATTTTCGGGCGGGCCCCGGCCCTTCTAGGCAACGGCTTAACAGAATCAGTCTGACCAGCCGCGGGCCTTAATGGGCGCCGTGCTCATCATTTTCGGGCGGGCCCCGGCCCTTCTAGGCAACGGCTTAACAGAATCAGTCTGACCAGCCGCGGGCCTTGCCGGACGCCGCAATTCTTACATGCTGTAAGTAAAAACGTTACTCGCGTGAGATACGCCGCGCTGATAGAGGTACCCTCAACGTTTATACCGTTGCTTATCGTTTCTGGGTAGTGGCTATAGCAAAGACGGTCTGCTGAGGTATCCTCCCCTAGGGCTACTTGAAGTTGGAACCGGGGCCCTACGAGGGAAGACAAATTCTGGCGAATACCCTGACCCATGCGCGAGGGCGAGGAAAATGGAAACATATGTTCAAAAAATGGAATAAATGTACATTGTACTGCGTTTAGAAACTGCGTATCGGGCCACCCGCGGATGCATATCGCGCATCAGTCGGGTGCTTGTCTGGACATCCGCGGGCGTCTTTCGAGCGCTTACCGGCGCATCCGCGGGTAACTCTCGTCTGCTTAGCGTGCGTTTACTCTACCACCCGCGGCATGGATGAAACGTCGGCGCGGGCCCTTCCGCGGGTGGTCGCAATAATTGTCTGAGAAGCCGCTAGCCAGCAAGAACAATTTTGTGAAAAATTTTCTACTAGCAATAGTCCATACATTCAACTACTTAGAGATATAAACATTAATGCTGAAAGACAAAGAAGAATTAAAGTAGAACATTTGCGAAGTCATCCTTTGCGACTCGTAGTTTCCGATTTAAAGAACCTTTTGGGTTGTAGGGCAAGGTTTCCTACGAGATAAGCATTTTGCTTCACAAATTGTAGTGCAAGTCTAGCCAAAGTTTGCTTTCCCCCTAAAAGCTCTACTCTAATTTGATTGAAGCAGATCCATAGAAGTCTTGAGAAGCGAAGGCCCGCATATTATGTGAATTCTATTCTTGAAGATGTTTTCGATGCATAGATATCGATAACAAATGACATTTTTTGATGTATAATGAAGTGTGAAAGCATAGAATAATTATGTGACTGTCATCATAATGCTAGGTCACCCCTAGTTAGATACCGACCACTTGGTAGAAATGAGTTTGCAAGAGTGAGTAAACAGGTTGGGACAAGTTGGAGAAAGGTTTGCTGAGGAAATTTTGTATGGAATGAATGGATTCGCGAATGCGATATCTTATCGCACCACATGGACTAAGTCCATTTTATTCGCACGAAAAGCCCATTTCGCGTGGACTTTCGTGGATATCACTCCAGGCAGTAATCGTCGAGAACCAGAATTTCGAATGATAAAATAATGAAAAATCGTGCGATGATTCCATTGTTATAAATCTGCTGGATGAAGACGTCAGCAAATGCGACTTCATAGGTTTTGAAGGGTAAGTGTTGTTCTACCAGACAGTGAAAGAATCAGTTTGATTTGAGGACCGCCGAGAACGAGAATTTTGAAAAATCTTAAAAATTCTCAATTTTAGGTTGCTTAATGACAGCTGACAGTTAAACTCTTATAAATCCGGACTTTGAAGGTGTGTGATGTTGCGACTTCATACGTTTTGTAGGGTAAGGTTTGCCCTATCAGAATATGTCTTAGCTGTACCGATCCATTGAGAAATCGCCGAGATCCAGGCTCTTTAAAAAGTATGTAAAAAACCATTTTTTAGCTCATAACTTTTTCAGAATTGCATAATACATGTTGCGACTTCATAGGTTGGATTCTCCTCATCAAGAGCTTTCAAATGATATATAATATGTGGGGGATTCACGCCTCCCACGGCATATGCCCGGGGGTGGAGTACCTCTCTTCACTAATTCTCCACTGGCGGCCTCCCGCCAATACATTGAAATGGGCGGGGTGGAGAACTAGTGAAGAGGAGTACTCCACCCCGGATTAGAGCCGCAAGAAACATTGAATCCCCCACATATTATATATCATCTGAAAGCTCATGAAGAGGAAAATCTATCTATGAAGTCGCAACATGATTCATGCAGTTCCGAAGAAGTTATGAGCTGAAAACGGTTTTTTACCTGCTTTTTCAAGAGCCTATATCTCGGCGATGTTTCAATGGATCGGTACAGCTAAGACATATTCTGATAGGGCAAACCTCACCACCCTACAAAACCTATAAAGTCGCAACATCACACACCTTCAAAGTCCGGATTTATAAGAGTTTGAATGTCAGTTGTCATTAAGCAACCTAAAATTGAGAAGATTTTAAGGTTTCCAAAATTCTCGTTCTCGGCGGCCACTCCTCAAATCAAACTGATTCTTTCACTGCCTGGTAGAACAACACTTACCCTTCAAAACCTATGAATTCGCAACTGCGGAGGGCTTCAGCCAGCAGATTTGTAACAGTGGAATGATTTTTCACGATTTTTCATTATTTTATCATTCGAAATTCTGGTTCTCGGCGGTTACTGCCTGGATTGACCTACTGCATAGATATATGCTCTTAATACTTTCTTTTACATTTCTTTTGCTTATTTTCCTTCTTTTGAGCTTTAGCAAAAAAAAATTTTCAAACCCAAAAGTGAAGGTGGTCACCCTGTACAGCTCAAAAGTGAAGGTAGGCGGAGAATCGGCTCCGACTATCGCACCTCTGCCACCACCTCTGTTTACCGTAAGAGCTGCCTGCTCAGCACAGACGCGTAATCCTTCGACCATCTTTCATAGATCTTCTGTTGGATCTTTGCGTTCCTCCCAGTCATCGTAACTGGCAATGACGTTCTCGAGAAGTTCGTCATACATGCCCTCTCTTTTAAGCTTCGCGCTGTGCGAGAATTTTCTCTACATTCTCCAACTGATGCGGATCTTTGATCCAAGTACGGTGGTCCGAGCCTGTGCAGAACGAACCACTCCAACACCGACCAAACTCCATCTTCTATTGACAATCATCGGATTTTTTCCGCATGTGCCATACCGTCTGGTGACTCAATATTCAACGGCGATGTTCTTTCTTCTGAAAAAAAACTTTCCATAAGATAATCGGGCCGTTGCGATGAGTCCGACGAGTCTGTCTCCATTCTCGTTCCAACTTCCCAGACCGAAAATTCCAATTGTCATCTTGAATTTGGGGTTCCTATCTTAGAAGTCGCCTACGTGAACTTATAGAATGACTTATTTTTGTGAATGACGTCTTCAAGTTCCTTGTAGAACTTGTCGAGCTTCCATCAGCTGCCTTCGTGGGTGAGTCACGTTGAGGCAGCTGACTACGGGGGAAGGGTAGAAAGGTTTAATTCAGAAGGGAACGACGAACCTTGATTTTATATCACTGCGATACAGAGGGAGTGACGACATAAAACCCCCCAGTACACCGTAGTCCCATCCACCCTCCAGTTTATGCGCTAAGTCCTGGAAAGGCGCTTCAAAACTCCACCAATGACACCAATGGAAATGAGTTGGGCTGGTGGAGTTTTGAAGCTTCTTTACGGGACTTAGCGAATGAAATGAAGAGTGCGTTTGGGACGACAGTGTACTAAAGGCAATGGTGGTCGCGGCATTTTCCGAAAGAGAGGGCGGCAAAAAAATTTTCAAATAAAAGGCGTGGCTTTAACCACGCACTGCGAAAAAAACTCTTTTCAAAATTTTTGCGGGTTCATGCCCGAATTATAGAAAATTGCGGGCTGCGGGCTCATTTGCGGGCTCATGATCCCCAGTTTCTAATAAATCCAAAAAATTTTTACAAGGCTAGTTCGAATTTTTAAAAAAATTAAAAAATTATGTCAATTATTTACAAGAATAAACAGGTCACTTGCACATTTTTATTACGTATGTAAGTAAATTTTAAAAAAATTTCGCGACTCATGGAAGGCATTGAATTTTTGGGGTTACTGATAGAAGCAAAGTTTGTTTTCAAAAAGTTTAGTGCCAAAATTACTTATCTGGCCAACTTATCACAAAATTTCCCAGCTGTTCACTATTAAACATCGGTCATATCTCGCGCAGTTTCGAATCTGACCGTATTGCTTACCGAAAGTGCCGTATTTATACAAAATTTTGTTGCACATTGCCATCGCAAAGACACTATTTGCCTTCTACTTAGAGCATCTAAGCTGAGAAAGAACTGATGCAAAGGTGATAATACAGCTTACTTAGTTAGTTTACTTACTTTAGTTTACTTTTACTTCGAATAGTGTTTATTTCCTCAACCGCGACCTTGATCTGCAAAACGCACTGCCCCAGATCTTCGTGACGCTCCGTCTTTCTCCGCAAAGAGATGAAACTATTCTGATTATATCCGATGTTATTCCGCAATCATGAACGCCTCGTAAATACAAGGTCAAATATAATCACAGGTAGAATGAGAAGAGATCATTGTAATTCCAACTGAGGTCGGACCAATTTGGCTTTCACTTCATTTGTTGCAGCGTATCCAGTACCTGAAAGATCGAAACTTTTACTATGGAATGGAAAAAAACTTTTGAACTAGAAATGCTTTCAGCTATGTAAACAGGTAAGTAATATAACTCACCTCCTCTCTGCATTTCGATTATATCACTTTCCGTCATGGGATCTCCAGACACCGGATCCGTCCAATCCTTTTTTATTAGTTTTTCAACCACGTCCCACGTAACAACACACTTGCTGCAATTACGTGTATTCTCTTCATTAACTCGTGAAAGGAAACAGAGCAGCAACTTACGACTTTTTCAAGTATGCGCAACGCGTAGTGTTGGTCAAGGCATCATGAGTTACAGGACACATATACCGCACCTGAAGCAGCTTATGCTTTAATCAGTTATATGTGATTGCTCGGGTTTCGTCTCTAAAAACCGTGCAATAAATAAAAGATTTTCCGAGTATGCCATAGAAAGGAAAAAAGATAAAAACTAAAATTTTCATCGGCTAAGCAATAGAAATAGATGGAGGAAAAATGATTCACAGTGAAAAAATAAAACGGTAGATGTGATGTACTATAATCGAGTCAAAAAATATTCTCTGGCTCCTACTATTCTGTATTACTAGCACCAGTATGAGCAAAGCAGTTTCATTGCGATACATCATCTAAAGTTCAAATTTGCCGGGCTTACCTTTGCTGCTATGATACTTTTCTCTTCTTCATCTTTTGGTATCGGCGTAAATTTGACTTCCATCAGGTCCTTCAGCTTCAAGGGCTTCCCAGATAATGGGCAAAGTACTTTTTGAGACTGCAAACAGAAATTCAATATAGATAGAGCAGCTTATCTAAGTACTCACAGGTTTCTCGAGCTTTGTAGATTCAGCGGTAGGGTTGAGCTCTGGGATCCAAAAACTGGGCAATTCCTTGCTCCTGTAAAAATACGCTGAGAATGGGTTTCGAAGAGGCAGTGAACACAAAGCATAGAACCACTGAGGACATGCTCTAAACGTACAAAAAAAGAACACAAGATACTGTTTTGAGAAAGAACAAAATACGAGAGCCAGATTTTGAGCGAAATCCTTCAAAGGGATATGCAAGACATCATCAAACTCACCTCTCCCCTTTCATGTTCGAGATTTCTCCCTCAGTTCCTAGCGCTTTAACTTTCTGTGCTGGTTGGACGGTTATGGCGCTGCCTGGCCGCTTCTACAGAATATATTCGTATCTATACATAAAAGTAAAGAAAAACAGCATTTACCAGAGGATTGGGGTTCGTGACGCTCTCACGAGCCTCATTTGAGTAGATTTTATAGCCTGGATGCGCTGGGGTACCTTCAACTTCGTCAAATTTTCTAACAATCTTTTCTTGATCGGATTTTTGGGCCTAAATAAATCGATTCAAAGTAGAATAGGTGACAAGAAAGGGGAAATTAATGGTAGGCAATAGACACAACTAAGATAGAATAAGGTTTAACATGAATAATTACGTTAAACTCAAACTAAAGACATAAAAGCATAGAAATCGGACGAAAGATCAACAAAAGTATCGTCATATATAAATGAGAAAGCTTTAAGTTAGTTAACTTTAAAAAATACCTTTCTCTGTTCCTCAGCTTGAATAGCATTTTGCCGTTCCCACTCCTTCGTTCGCTTGGCTATTTCCTTCTTTTGGGCCAAGATATACTCCAGCACAGCCTCACGATCAAAGAGAAAACCAGATGGAGTGATGACGGGATTTCTAAAGATAAACAAAATAATCTGAGCCAACAGAGCATAACCGCTTCAACTTACTTGCAAGGTTGCAAAGTTAATGAACAACAATCGAACTCCTTTATAGAATCAGCTCCAAGACGAGCATGTAGTGTGCCATAACCGCTAACTTTAGCGTCTCTCTGTCGTTCATGGTATGAATAAACGGATGATGCTGTACAATTTTTACCGTGCCGAGTCATTGCTGGAACACATAACGATCAAAGCACAAAAGTAGTATATTCAATGATGAGAACAGCGAGCCGAACGGAATCTAGAGTTTGCGTTGAAGATTATAACATCAAAGAAGGAATGAATTGGGCAAGAGGTATGCATCTCCGAAAAAAAACGTCCACACTTTACCAAAGAAGTAAATGGTTTTCCACTGTGAGCCAACTCACTCCCACCCTCTTATGCTTTCTAAAATGAAATTTGAGCAAAAGTAACCAAGATAAAATCAGCAATAAAAAGAAAAAGCTTGGTTCCTTTTGATTTTAAGAGCTTTTCCCAACTGAAAGCTCGAAAAGCATTTCGTCAATCGTAGCAAGGGGCGAAAGGCAGCGTTCGCGTACGCGCGCGGATACCGAATGAAGCATGTTAACTACGTGATGGAAATGATAGCAATGCACATGCAACAGAAAATCAAACAAAGCTTTAGCTATCTTCCTCATTCTTTCAGAATAAATTGCTAGTTTGGGAAAACAAACGGCTGTAAACTCAGCTGCTATGGAGGTGCTAGCGTACTGGGAATGACAGATGTGAATTCATCTTACGAAAATCTTTGATCCCAAGCCGTAGTTGTACGTTGTCCTCCTCGATGGGCCGGTCACAACTTGATGTGAGCTCTTCCAGCCTGTTACCGTCATAAACGACTTCCCCTTCTCGCAGCACTATGACAGACTTTCTTTTCCAGCCTTCGGCTGAGTCGTATCTTCGCTCGAAGAAGGCGGTGATCGGAGCCACTGTAGAAGAATGGAACTACTGAGACATAGAGCAAGCTCCAGCTTTGATTGGTGAGAATGCTGTTGATCTCCGCGTCAGTCGTTCTGTTGAGCAATTCCCCTATCCATCGGCGATGTTCCTTCTTCATGAAGATGGAATTTCCATGGAAAAGTCGAGCGGCGGAGAGGAGCCTAACAAGATGGTTGCCTTTCATCTCGGAGCCCAAATCCAAACTTGCCGATCCTATATCCCTCTTCTAGTGGCGTCCCGATCTTCGCGTTGAGGACCACAAATATTGAAGTAAAACATGTAACTCCAAAAATTATCGTATAATTTTTATGAAAGAAGTCTGAAGTTAAATCTTTTTTCAATAGATGCTTACAAACCTCAATCTTATATTCCCAGAGTAGGTAATGCATACCGTTCAAACAAAGTTCAAGAGTTTTAAGAGTTTTAGTACTAACTAGATGGCAAACCCGGCTCCGCCCGGGACCAAACTTTGCACACATACACTTCGGGGCAGGGAGCGTGTCATAGTCTACTTTTCTTATCGATCGATGTCGATTTTACCGATTTTTTGCAAAATTTGAGCTAGGGGGCTAGGATTTTGCACGGGGGGTAATCGAGCATGCTGATCAACCCCTCCGGGGTGATCAGCATGCTCGATTACCCCCCCCCCCCCCGTGCAAAATCCTAGCCCCCTAGCTCAAATTTTGCAAAAAATCGGTAAAATCGACATCGATCGATAACGAAAAGTAGCCTTTGACACGCTCCCTGCCCCGAAGTATATGTGTGCCAAGTTTGGTCCCGATCGGTTCAGAAATAAAAATTTCTATTCCGCACATACATACAGACAGACAGACATACATGCAGACAGACATTCAGCTTTATATATAAGATAGAATCAAAACAGTGAAACTTTCTTTGTATCTCTAATTGCAAATCAAAAGTGATTAGAAGTTTTCATTTAAATAGTTGTGACAATATTTATTATTCATTACTATCAAATGAATCCCTTTCTTGCTAGTTTCTTCTCAGCAAGACAGTTGGATACCTACTCAAACCTAGAAAACGAAAGAAATTGTCGAAATGACCTAATTAATCACCATAATCAATTAGAGAACGCCCAAGTCGTTTCTAGAGTTTTGATCAAGAAATCTTTCTTCAACTTTTCCGATCGACTTGATTTTGGAGAGCTGCAAAGCTTCCCTTCTTCCCATACAGAAACATCCTTCACCAAGTGCTTACGACCCCACAAATTTCCCTCACTTGACAACTCTCGAACAGCTCCACAGCAGCGAGCAAGCACCTTGCACTTGACTGTAACGCTATTCGCTCGTTTTTCTGCTCAATTCATCTTAGTTAGTGCGGTGAGAGGTAGATCTGTCAAAGCGCGAGCAAGTGCGTGCAGTACTCATGTGTCAGCACACGGCGGTTTTGTCTTTCTCTGCATAACTGTGTAAAGTGGCCGAACGAGTCGACGTCAGCGCGCTCGGCGGCGAAAAAACGGGCCGTCGCCGCTTGAGTTCGCTGCGATCCTCAGCTTACAGCGCGACGCGCTCATGATGTGTCGTAAAATATGAGCAGAGGAATGTACGACATGTTCATGAGCTGGTGAATGCATAATAAACTCTTGACTTTTGCGAATTGCTGGTCTGAAAATATCCTACTATAATAACGCGCTAAGGCCGTCTGTTTTTTTGTGTGTCTGTGTGAAAATCTGTCTGTCACGAAATTCATAGAGGAAGCTGCAACTAAGCTATCGCGCTGCAATTTTGCATAAAATACCGTGCCAGCGTGTAGGCCCACCATGCACAAGGAGGACCCGGTTCGATAAGCGGGTCCCTCAAAATTTGCGCGTCAAATGGGTCCACTCGCCTTTTGGCATGCAAAACTGGGTAGCTAATTCGACTTTTTGCAAAGTGTCGGGATATCATTTCACCATATCTTATGCCTCGTCATGCTTCCACTGTTTACTGGACACGCCACCCCGCCTACGACACAGTTGCTGTTGTACGAGTATAAAAGACAGCATGAATAACTCTTACACACACTCCCTCTCCTGGCTGGTCATCCTCATACCAGTCTACCCTTCCCCCCTTTTCCTCTCCTTTTATGTAACTTATATAATAAACTAATTTATAATTACTTATGTCTTGGACACAGTACAATAACACCGCTACACCATCAGGCAAAGGTCTGTGCACCCCTTTAACCTGATATGGAGGTCCCAGGGAGATATCATCCCGCAGATAGACAAAATTTTTTTTTTCTTTCTCTCTCTCTCTGAAAATTTAAAAAAAAAATCACCACCCCCCACCCTCCTCCCAATCGACATACCACCCTTCTTCCAATCGTCTTACAATCCCCCTTCCTCAACCATGGCAAGGAAGCTCGAACGACATGTGAGTATTTTTTTTAAATATTATTACCACTAACCGACAATGGTGTGTTCTAACATTAACCTAGAGCAATCTGAGAATTGCCTTCATAAAGTCCTGCGGGCGGATACCTTAGGTCAATAAATTATATATTTCATGCATATAAAACGCGGATATTTTCGAAAAATAAGTTTCGTGCCGATTTATGATTGAACGCAATTTTTTTTTTACGCGCAATTCACAGTAGATTTGTTTACAAATTCACCGTGATCCGTGACTTACGTAATTAATTTAGAGATGAAAAGTATTGAATATAAATTATTATTTTGCGCATTAAAGAATGAGGGTATATTAATTGTAATTATAGCTAGCATATCGGGATTTATCCCTTAAATTTATACAATTATTATGAAATTCAAAAGGACTCGCTCGCGAAAACCGGTAATGTATGCATACAAAATCTGAGATTGGCTATACAATATAGCACGTGAAGGCGCTGACATTTATCAGCTCGCCCGATTCACGGCGCATTGTTTGGTGAATAGATCATTGCATCTCTCAGACAGCGCAACCTCAACAAACCTCAGCTAGCAATAAATTCTCTCGTGGATGACGAAAACTCACAGGTGGCCGCACGAAATATTTTGCTCGGAACGCCATTATCCGCCATTAATCAAGCGCGAACAAATGGCCGAGCCCAGAAATATAATATTTACGCGGAGGAACCCCACCTAGCAATTAATAAGTCGCGAACAAATGGCCGCAAAGATAAAAATATCCTAGCGCATCACCTGCCGTAATCACTCACTAATGGAGCAATTGGCCGTAGGCGAAAACACTCAAGGAGGAACCCTCAAGACTAATGACTATACAGTTGAGATTGATGATCGTAACACCTACCCCTTCTTATTCTCACCTATCTCAAAACAAAGAGACTAAAGAGCAATTGGACACCACTTTGGCATCATTTTATAAAAAAAGCCCAAATAATATTTTCTACTCACTAACGAACTTATGGGTCCCCAGCAATAAGTCGGATAAATACAAGAGAGAGTATAACTAAAAACAATGAGATAAAAGCGAATTCTAAGATAAGAATCTCATAACGGAGACTTTTAAGCAGAGCACAAGCCAATAGACTGGCTGCTCGTGCCGTTCCCCCGCTATTTGTAGCTCCAATTTGCAACCTTGATTTATTGAAAGCGCACCTGCGACCCCGCGAAAGCGACCTCGCGAAAGCGAACCCGCAAAAGCGAGGAAAATATAACGCAGAAAAAAAAAAGAATGCGTTTCTTCTGCAATTAATCTAAACCTCACTTATTACAATATCACATCCAAAAATAGATTCTCCATCCTAATACTGTGTAATACAGGAACCAAACTCGTAAACAAAACCATTAGGAAGATTTCTTCTGCAATTAATCTAAACCTCACCTATTACAATATCACATCCAAGAATCCAAAAATAGATTCTCCATCCTAATACTGTGTAATACAGGAACCAAACTCGTAAACAAAACCATTAATAAGAGCAAAGACTAATTTTTTCCGTCAAAATATTTACCAGTTTCTCGGAATATTTGTAACATTACACCAATTCCCACACATATTACAACTTTTGGATACCTATATAAACCTTACCTTCGACAATCCAGTACCCACATCCACTACTTGGTGGCTCTCTATTTTTTTTTCTCTGCAATCTCTTCGCCGACGTTCACTCTCTCAACCAAATCGTTTAACAACTAATCTAATCCGATATCAACTTCCAACCTCATATAAGAGTACGATCTTAGTGATATTCATTCATACTATTAGTAATCTCATCTTAGTCTTAACATACATACCTATTTTAATCAACAAAAAAAAATAAATAAATAAATC